TGGAATTTTTTCCTCGATTGATTCTTTATTTTTTCGTTTCCTTTGACTGTTTTTTGGCGAGTCCTTGGTATCAGTTTTCTTTAGTTTTAAATTCAAACTTGATGTAGTCGCTTCTAATGTATCCATTTGTTCTATAATTGCATTAGATGTTTGTTTAGTTTCCTCTATCAAGTCTTTTGTTTGATTTGCTTAAGCTTTGTCCATTATATTTTTTCTGGGTTAATTTCTTATGTTTCTAATAGTATACTTCCATTTTCGTCATTATGCATTTCTCTCGAATTTTCAAGATCATTAGTGTTATTGATATTTATTTCTTCATGACGGCTGTGTAGTTTCTCGGCTTTCATAGTGGTTTTTGTTTGTATATCTTGGTAGTCTTCATTCAGTGGGTTTATTTTAAATGTAAGAGTGTTAGTCGTCCCTGTTGAGTCTTTATTTAAAATATATTCTGAGTTATTTTTTTGCGAAAAGTTCGCTTCGTCGATTACAGCTGGCGGAATAATGATAATTCTATTATTGCCGTTGTCCTTTTGTATTTCGGGTGATTGTGATTGCGACCTTACATTGTTTTGGGTCGTTTTAAGGTTTGTTGTTAAGCGTTTATTTCTCGGTTTTATCGCTGGAGCTGGTGACATTTTAAACGATTCACTCGATAAAATATTATTTAATATATCTGTAATCGCTTTTCCTCCGTTTTTTGTTGTTAATTTCTTAATACTTTTAGTTAATAGGGATTTCTCTTTTTTGGTGATTTGTTTCCCTGCTTTGCTTTGAGGAAGCTGCTTTTTCATTGCCGCCACCTTTGATGCCATTTTCGAGTCGATGAGCGGGAGTTCTCTTGGTCCAATGACAATCTTTGATGCACTTTTTATTTCAGCAGTTACAATTTTATATTGTTTTTCACTTTCACGATTGGGACTAAAACGGTTTCCCTTTCATTTCCCCTTCCTCTGTTGTGAAGCTCAAGGAAACAGAAATATCCCCAGTGCTATTTCCTAAGTTTTCTCTTTTTTCATATGTGTGTGCATAAGAAAATAGAGGAAGTGAGTGAAAGTGTTCAAGAAAAAAGAAATAGATTTGAGCCAAAATAAAAAACAAAAGTGATAATAATTGCCTACAAAAAGACCAATGCTTGCGTCTACTATCATTAAAAGAACGATTACAATGTCACGATCCAATTTAGACTTAAATAAAATAAAGCAGGTCTAAACAAAAAAACTATAAAAAACAAATATATAGTGTAGATAATTATTGCCTAAATGTACTTTAAAGTGCTCATAATCTTTTACCTAGTGTGTTCTCTAAGTCTAAATTGGATCGTGACATTGTAATCGTTCTTTTAATGATAGTAGACGCAAGCATTGGTCTTTTTGTAGGCAATTATTATCACTTTTGTTTTTTATTTTGGCTCAAATCTATTTCTTTTTTCTTGAACACTTTCACTCACTTCCTCTATTTTCTTATGCACACACATATGAAAAAAGAGAAAACTTAGGAAATAGCACTGGGGATATTTCTGTTTCCTTGAGCTTCACAACAGAAGAAGGGGAAATGAAAGGGAAACCGCTTTTGGTTGATAAGTCGAAGGAAAAGACAAAGTGCCACTTTCTCTCTATATTAAATAATAGAGGGATGAGCAGAGGTTCCTTAAAAGCGACTGATCGGGACGACTTTCAAGTCGAGACTCGCCTAACCACTATGCTACGGAACCTAACTAAACACAGACGCTTTATTTTCAGTGACTTGTTGAGTTATTGGTTTTGATGATTTAATAAAGCATTTATTGACACTAATACACTACAGCAAATTAATAAATAGTTTTTAATACTAATATTAACAATATTAATAATATAATAATAACCCATAAATATTCATAAATTAATATTTTTATTATTTAAAAGAAATGTCAAAACATTTCAGTTAAAAATAATATTTATAAATTAATCATAATAAATGGGAGCATAATTGAAAAGTACTGTACATGTTCCGGTAACAAATTTGCAGTTTAAGGTTAGTTGTTGTTTGCTTTTTTGTTTCTTAAATTTTTAAAAAAATTTATTTTCAAATATTTTCAATTTTAAAATTAATCTATTGAAAATCTTCAAATTGTTGCAAAGAATGTTATCAAAAAATTTGATAATAATAGAATTCCTTCAAAGAATTTATTTATTTAGAAAAATAACTAAATTCTCGCGAAGAATTTTATTAATATTTTCAAAAATCCTAATTAAATTCTTTTAAAGAATTTCTTTGAATTTTTTTAACTATGGGGCTGTACACATAATACGTCACGCGATTTTTGACCATTTTTAACCCCACCCTCACCCTATGTCACACTTTGTCACAAACCTTGAACCCCCCTCCCCCTACAACGTCACGTCACACACGTAAATTTCACTGTAATTTTTATACATTGGACATTATATATTATATCCTACACTCTAAATTATTGAATCAGTTAAAAATAACAAATTTAGAAGCAAAAAGTCAGTCACTAATTCAAATAGTAATATTTTTTTCTGACAATTAGTTAAAAATAACTGATGTTTCAATACACGGAGAAAAATATAAAGTAACTTTTACTACTTTTATAGTAAAAAATTCCCGGTAAAGCATTTCTGGTAATTTTTACTACTTTTGAAGTAAAATTTGCTACGTTCGAAGTAAATTTTACTAATTTTTACAAATACAGTCGAACCTGGCTAAGTAAAACCTGGATAAGTGAAAAACCTCTATTAGAGACGGCAATCGCCAGGTCCCTTCATTTTGCCATGTAAAAACCTCTATAAGTGAGAATATGTAAGTGACCGATATTTTTTCTTTGCTAGATCTCTATAAGTGAATGAAGCGCTCCTTGAACCTCTATAAGTGATTATTTTTCTTAAGTAGACCTCTGTAAGTGACAGGAGCATGTCTACAACCTCTGTAAGTGAAAATCTTTTCCTCATATAAATATTCTACTGGGCAATAGAAGTAAGTAAACAGTAATTCAAATTTTAATAGAAGTTCACTTAATTAATAATTGTGCAAATCGACAAATCACTTTTTCATAAAATTTTTACAAATAAACAAAGTGAAAGAAAACAAGTGAAAACCTCTATTAGTGACAAACCTCTATAAGTGACAAAAAATTCACGGTCCCTTGAAATGTCACATTTTCAGGTTTGACTGTATGTACTTCAAACGTAGCAAAATTTACTCCAAAAGTAGTAAAAATTACCAGAAATGCTTTACCGGAAATTTTTTACTATAAAAGTTGTAAAAGTTACTTTATATTTTTCTCCGTGTACAATTTTTTTTATTGATTCAATTAGTCACGTTTATAACTACCTACATAGCACCAAAACTTTCCTAAAAATTTATTAATGATTTACTCGCAAACTTCGAAATATTTAAATGCAAAGTTTAGTGAAAATTGTGTAAAGATTTAAATATAATTATATCCCACTTCAATACATGTTTAGCGCGAAACTTTCCTGAAAATTTAACTTAAATTTTCACGAAAGTATAGTCAAAAATGTAATTCAAATGTCCAGGAAAGTTTCAAGAAATATTTTTAAGAAAATTTGACGATAAACATTTATTGGAGTGAGAAATTTAAATCTTTGCACAATTTTAACTAAACTTTGCAAGTAAATTTTTCGAAGTATGCAAGCAAATCTTTAATATACATATTTAGAAAAGTTTCGGTGTTTTGTGGATAATTTTTCAGTTATTCAGAAGCAAAAAGTCAGTCACTGCTGATTGTCAGTTAAAACCACGATTTTTAACTGATTCAAATTAAGAGAATATATTATTTATCAGATTATAAATAATATACCAATATATGTGAAACAGGTACATAATAGATAAATAGTTCAAAGCATTTTTAACTTGTTTTATTTAAAAAAATAAATAAATAAATTTTATTTAGTCACAATTCTCAGACCCCCTCCCTCCCCCTAGCCGCGTGACGTATTATGTGTACGGCCCCTAATGGAGTTTCTTTAATAATTTTAATTGGAAATTTCGAAAGCAATTGAATTTTATGAAGAAGAATTTTATTAAAATTGTATTAAAAATTTTACTATTTATAAAAATAATTGAATTTTTCCGAAGGATTTAATAAAATTTAAGAAAATAATTGAATTTTTTCGTGAAATTTTCAAAATAAAAAATTTTGTAATTTGCATAACAATAATAAGTTGAATATCTCGTTCCGCGCGTAACATTTGCTATTGTAAGAATGTAGTAGAAGCAATACAGGGTTTAAAGTTCAATTAGGACTTAAAAAGGAGTTGACAGAGTTAAATAGAACTTACGCAGGAGAAAAAACGCACCAAGGGTTTCTTAGGTGCATGTTAGGGTTAAATTATACTTACCAGGAGGTAAGCAGGTTTCAAAGTTCGACTTGAGGAACTTTTAAATCCATTCATAAGGAAAAAAGTTATTGGCATTTGAAAATTATGTTGCAAAAAAATTGAGCCCCTAATAATATGGCGACCACGCATTTCACAGACTTTTTTTCCGGGTGCCTTTTTTTCCAGAGAATGCCTTATACGGACATTTAAGAAAAATGTTTCTTACCACCAAAAACGATGGAGTAAATATAGAAGTTTATCCGGTAAAATAAGATTTTGCAATTTCGAAATAGTTTTTGCATGATTAGTACAATCAAAAGCTTATGAATACCCGTAAAGGTAATATCTATTCGATTACGAGTTAATAATGTTGATTCAATGAATTGAACAAATAACGCCAAATTTTTTACTGTAGACTTCAGCTCCTTTATGGAATTGTAAATTATATTATAATTTAAATAAATATTATTTATTTTTAACAAGATTACATTACTTTTAAATTTTAATATAGAAGAAACTAATTTAAGAGGCGAAACAAACAGAATTTAAATAAAAGGAGATGATACATCCTAATGTACTCATGAAGAAAAAGTATTTTTTAAACATATTATTAAACTTTATAAAAATATCATGTTTTTGAATTTTGTGATTTAAATGTAGGAATATTTCTTGGGCCGAATAATCCAGCACATTTTGTTGCAAGTTTTAATGAACTGACAGAGGAAGCTAAGTATTTATCCAGATTTGGATTTGCTGCTCTCCAAGGATCAATATTATTTGTAAATAAGTAAGTTTTTAATTAAAATGACAATGATAATACTGACAATGTTATAATTTAAAAAGTATAGCCGGATAATAATAATGGAAAAATTGTCTCCGCATTCATTTTATTCACATTTTCACCATATTTTTTATACCTACTTAAAAAAACTTTGGGATTGCTAAATACATTTTTTTAAAATTTCTAAAGCAGAACGTTATTTTTAAGTAAGTAGTAGGAATGTATAGTGAAAATTTAAATAAAATATTATATCAGTGGGCAATTTTTCAATACTTATCCAACTATACCCTTTTTCAAGTTATTAAATAAAAAATTACTTTAGGTTTCCTGAGCTTTCGAGGAATATTCCGTTTGCTCAAAGTACAGGAAATTCAAGTTTACGCCAACAGTGTCCTAAAAGAGGAATTCCTCAATGTACTCCAGCCAGCTTAAGGTATAGAACTGCTGATGGAAGTTGTAATAATGCTCAAAATCCTTGGTGGGGTTCTGCTATGTCAACAATGCAAAGGTAAGAACAAACAAAATACAAATGTGTTGATCTTACTAAAAATTTTGTTAAGCTGCTCGCACAAACACTGTAGGTATTAGGTGTCAGGTACATACTGTATAAGTTTGTCATTTTCTATCTCTGTTAACCCATTAACGCCTACCAGGACGGAAAGTGTACCTTGATTTCACGACTCTTATTTTGTATGAAATAATTAGTAAAAAAATTTAGGAAATACCATTTCCGACGTAAAATTTATCGCTCTTTCGGAATATGAAGCTAAAATTTGTTTATAATAAGGGTATGGTGGGGCATTACTATTCTTGTTTGGTTTTTTGAGTCTAAAAAATGTATTTAAAAAAAATGAGTAGGACCGTTTGAAAACTTGACTTCTTAGCTACAATTTTGCCATGTATTATTTTGCTGTAACTCGATTCTGTTCCTAACTACAGCGATTTTAAGAATTTTTTTTTTTTGATGTCGAAAAAAACGAGGGGCGAAACTATTCTTGCAGCTATTAATGATATAATACTAAAAAATATAAAAATTAATTTGTTAATTGGAGGAGTTTTTCTGGTTTTTTTCTTCCAATTTCTTACCATTCTAACCTAAAAACAAGCACACAAAAAAAACACTGTTTCGTAGTTTTCGCTGTCATCAGTGGGCGAATAGTTTCGCCCCAACCGCACATTTTTTAAAAAAACAATTTTAAAATTTTTGAACAATAGAATATTAAAAATCTATTATGATATTCGAGTTTAGCACTAAATTTGACTTTAGAAATGATTTTTCCGATAATTTTTCCGACTGTTTATCACTATTTACAATGGCAGACTAAATGAGTGAAAACAAGTAAGCGAGTATATCAAAATCACATTTGAGTACCTAACTCCTATGATAGATGGCGCCAGAAGCTTAAATGTGGCGTACAATCCCGTGCAGAAAATGCCCCACTTTGCCCTATTTAAAACAGGGTTCTGGTCGGGGCCTCGACAGTTTTTCCTATTAAAATTTTTTTTTTAATAAAGTTTTTAGAATTCCTTTTTGTTGTAGAAGCTATTAACAATGAAAGGCAATCATTATTTTAGTTATTTAATAATTTTTTTATTTTAGGAGTTTGACTAGAATTCCTAGCCAGAACCCCAGGTAGGGTGTTCATTAGATTTTAGATAGGGTACTGATCAGGGCCTCGACAGTTTTCCTTGTTTAAATAAAGTGTAAAAAATTAAATCTCTAAAATTACTTTTAATAAAAAATAATGAACAATTGAAGAATACAATTAAAGGGAGTAATTATACTATCGTTTTGAATAATTTTTTTATTTTGTGGGTTTGACCAGAATTTCTGGGCAAAACCCCAAGTGAGGTGTTCACTAGATATTAAATAGGGCTCTGATCAGGGCCTCGACAGTTTTCCCCGTTTGAATAAAGTGTAAATGAATTAAGTTTTTTAAATTAGTTCCCATAATAAAATTATAAACAATTGAAGAAATTAATTAAACGGAGTAATTATACTACATTTTTAAGAATTTTTTTATCTAATGGGTTTGACCAGAAATTCTGGACAAAACCCTAAGTGGGGTGTTCACTAGATATGAAATAGGGCTCTGATCAGGGCCTCGACAGTTTTCCTCGTTTTAAAAGCATGTAAATAAATTTAATTTTTTAAAATTAACTTTTTTAAAACAGTTATTTAAGTTAAAAAAGCGTGTTCTTTTAAAACACTTTATAAAATAATTATGGTAATATATTTAAAAAACGAAAATACATATAATTTTTTTTTCTTTAAGTACAATATTTAATAAAGTTTATTTATTAATAATAACAACTAAATTATAAATAACGAATAATAATAGTTATTAAATAATTAATTATTATACATTTATTTAAAAATAAAAATTATGAATTTAAAAAATAATAATAAATAAACAATTATTAATAAATTATACTTAATGAATTTTAATAATTGTTAATTTATAGGATGAATTTATCATTTGGTTTGTATATATATATATATATATATATATATATATATATATATATTAGCTTAAAGTGAGAAAATGATTCGGAGAGATTGTTAAATTTAACACCTTCAATATTTAATAACTATTTTTTAAACATAATTAATAAATTTGAATAAAATATTTATTAAATAAATATTAATTATTACTTATACATTTGAAATCAAAAATTATAACCTTTATTAATATTATAAAATTAAGGAGGCAGAAAGGAGCGACAACCTCCAAAAGAAAAATGAATTAATCATACAGTAGGATCTTCCAATAGTGCAGTCGTCAGGAATATTGTGCACTATTCGAAGAGTGCATAAACGCATAATACGTTTATTTAACTCAAATAAAATAAATTTGGTTTAAATAATATTTTTCTCTGGGTGTAATGAATATGTTTATTATGTTTCTAATATAATAATATTTTTAATTACAGTAATTTTATTGTAATTACTTTTGAATAAAATTAGCCTCACAAAATAGGGCAATTTTAAGAGAAACTGACGAGGCCCTGACCAGTTTTTCCCTAAGTAGGGCATTGGTCGGGAACAGCGTCACACACTAGTCGGGCACTGGTTAGTTTCTCTACCCAGAGCCACACCAGAGATCGGGAAAACTGTCCAGTACCCTATCAGGCCCACATTTTAATTTCTGCACGGGATGTTCATTTCACATGACAAGTATACAGTGTAAAAGGGACTTCAATCGGATGAATAGTTTTCTCTTCAGGACTGTAGAATAGTCTCGCCCCGCGAATAGTAATGCCCCACCTATCTTAAAAAAATTTATAAATTTTATTGCAAAAAAAGACACTTTTTTACGAAAAACATTTTTTAATTATTTTGACATGGAAAACTAAAGAATATGGTCTCAAAAGCTCAAAATATCGCGTCCTCGAACCCTCAGCTATAAAAATCCATAATTACTTTTTTAAAATCCAAGATGGCGGATATGAAAATGGCCATTTTTCCAAAATGCAAAAGGCCAGAAAAAAAATATCGGGTAGTTTGGGGGTTTTTGATGTTGCTGATTACGAATCTGACTTTAGAATAATGTGTTTATCCTCCACGACCGTTTTAAAAAATAATTTTAAAAAACGTGACTCTTGCACGTCGACCTCCTTGTGGTAAAAGCTGGGAAACTACAATAAAATGTTGTTGACGGCTAACGGACGTGGAGGATAAACATAATATTATTCTGAAGTCAAATTCGTAATCAGCATCCTTAAAAACCCCCGAATGACCATTTTCAAGCAAATACACATACTTTTTAAAAAATTGTCCGCCATGTTGGATTCGCCATTTTGAATTTTAAAAAAGTGACATCAGATTCGTAATCAGCATCCCCAAAAGCCCCCGAGTAACTATTTTCAAGCAAATCCAATCACTTTTTAAAAAATATGTCCGCCATATTGGATCCGAAATTTTAATTTTAAAAAGTATCATCAGATTCGTAATCAGCGACCCCAAAAACCCCCGAGTAACCATTTTCAAGCAAATCTATTAACTTTTTAAAAAATTGTCCGCCATGTTAGATTCGCAAATATGAATTTTGAAAAAGTGACATCAGATTCGTAATCAGCATCCGCAAAAACCCCCGAGTAACTATTTTCAAGCAAATCCAATCACTTTTAAAAACATATGTCCGACATATTGGATCCGCCATTTTGAATTTTAAAAAAGTAACATCAGATTCGTAATCAGCGACCTTAAAAACCCCTGAGTAACCGTTTTCAAGCAAATCTAATAACTTTTGAAAAAAATTTCCCGAAATTTTTTTCCGGCCTTTTGCATTTTGGAAAAATAGTCATTTTCATATTCGCCATCTTGAATTTTAAAAAAATAATAATGGATTTTAATAGCTGAGGGTTCGAGGACGCGATATTTTGAGCTTTTGGGACCATATTCTTTAGTTTTCCATGTCAAAATAATAATTGAAATTTTTTTTTTTTTTCGTAAAAAAGTGTTTTTTTGTAATAAAACTGTTATAAATTTTTTTGAGATAATTATAAACAAATTTTAGTTTCATATTCCGAAAGAGCGATAAATTTTACATCGGAAATGGTATTTCCTAAATCTGGTGGGCGTTAATAGGAACGTTTCCGGCAAGACAGGGTTTATGCAACCTATAGATACTAGCACAAGCGATCTCGATGTCTACACACTAAAAAAAAGTTTTACTTTCAGCCTCTTTTTGAGGCTGAATTTAAGGTGTAAACGGAGTCAGCCCCGTTAAACAAGGACAGACTTATGTGAAATACATGGGCTGAATTTAAGGTGTAAACGGAGTCAGACTTTTTTTTCCTGTGTAGGGCTCTACATGGGTGATTCTTCTGAAAGTGACATTTTTGATGTCTCGATAAATTTTACAAAATCTACTCTCTAATAATTATTATCAATTTCCATAGTAAAAATTAAGCACTTACATTTACACTTACATTTATAAAAAGAATTAAAAAATTGTAATATTCATCTGCATTTATGCAGTACTAACTAAAATAATTTCATCTCCGAAGCCTTTTTAGCATGTCTCCAATAGGACTTCATATAAAAAAAACTGAATTTTATATTTTAATCGAACTCTTAGAAATTTTTTGATAAACAACTCAACCAAATATTTTTTCAAAATTTTTAAAATTACCAAAAATATGTTATTTCTAAAATTTTTGCCTTCTTTTTATAGTTCTATAACTTTGGTTCTAATTAACCGATTTTGGATTTTAAAAAAAGGATTTCTTTGGTTTTAAGTATATTTTAAGTTAAAATTAATATAAATTTTTTTTTTGAAATTTTGAAAAATTAAAAATCCGTTTTTGGAAAAACATTATCTTTGATTTTTTTCAAAATTTTACTAAATGTTAGGGCAAATGTGCTTTACATGTCCTGTAAGTTTCATCTTGGGATCTCAAAGGGATTCGGAGTAAAAAAATAAAACGTAGCGCAAGCGTTTCGAACATATGGACAAAATTCCTCAACTGCCCAAGTCAAAAAATGAATTTTATCTAAACTTT